AGTTTATAACACTGAAAAACTGAGGCTAACACCATTAGTTCAAGGGAAAAGCTAGCATTCCTGCCAGCTAATAATTCACAAGCACGGTCATTATATTGTGGGGTAGATTATTATTATACTGGGTCATGCTAAAAACATTAAATGAGATTTTATTTGTTCAAATGCAGTCCTTGGACTTTGAAGGAGTATTAGGGCCACAATAAGAAAAAAACATGTTATTATTCATTTTGAGAATAAAGTCAAAGTCACAATTTGAAAATAATTACAATGTTTTATTAGATGAGTTAGTTAAATTGTACTTTAGAATTGGTTTTAGTACAAATAAATTCTTTCTTTTTTAGCACATAAACACTGTGTGGTGACAAATATAAGGACAGAAAGATGCATATAGTCAGTAGGAAAGACCACAGAAATCTGGCCAGATTTGCGCAAAATGAAACAATGAAATGAAACATCAATGGGCAGATTACTAATGGTCACACTATGATTTACAACAAGACACAATAAGACAGCTGATCATGCGGTTTCTACACAGGCATTTAGTAGACGGCATAAACCCTGTGGCAGTTATTTGACTTGAAACGACAAATTTCACCTCCACATTTTGAATTTACTCTGAAAGTTTAATCTCAAAATGAACAATAATATTTTTCTTTTAATGTCGCTGTAACATTTCATTGTACTGGACAGTTTTAGAGAAAAACTAACATTAACTGCCAACATACAACAAAACAGTCGGATGAATATTCTATTGTATTATCCCACTAGCGAGTTGGAATTAATCCACTTGTATGAAACGACTGTGGAACATTTTAATATTCTCTCCCACAGTCACAAATTAGTTAACATTCATACACAGTGGCAAAAATGTTAAGAGAAGAAAGACTAAAAGTCACCAGTAGCCCTCACACTCATCATCAAATACCCCACTTGCTTCTTAATTACCACTGGCTGCTGTTTAGTGTAGCATATTACCCATGGGTCCAGAGGTCCCTGAACAGAATTATGGAGGGCAGAGGGTGATGGTAAGAGAGGGCGAGGATTAAGTGAGATTGATGTAATTAGCCTTTATCCCCCTCAGTGTGAAGTTAAGAGGACAGCCCAAAGAACTAGTCCTTCAATTTCCCCAGATTTATTAGAGCACAGATGCAAAATGACAGTCAAGTTTAAAACGAGAGCAAATCTCAGTGTAGGGCTGGGCAATATGGCCTAAAATTCATATCGCGATATAATTTGAAGCATGTGCGGTAACGATATATATCACGATATATTCTTTTCTTCTGTATAACGTATTTTCCACACTTAAAATCCTTTAATTTTCTCAAAAATCGAGAGTGTGCCTTATGTATGAATTCTGGTTGTGCTTACTGACCTCGAACCGATTTGGACGTGCTGAAATCTGTTAAAAAATGTTTTAGTACAACTTTGGTAAGCCGCAATGCTTGATGGATTGTCAGAGCATTACGGCTGCCGTAGTGAGGAGCTTCGTGGAGTCCAAAACTCCGTCCCCTTCAGGTCCCAAAGTCAAACGAACACTAACAGTTAAAAACGGTCTAAATTCTTTCATCTTTAATAAAATCATCAGCGTTGCTGCTTTATCAAGTGTAACAATTACGTTTTACATCCATGCATCCATGAAAACAGAATTTATTAAATTTCACGAAGTTAGAAGTTAACAGGAAGTTAGCTCGCTAGTTTCCACCTAAACATGACATACCATGTTCTGACTGAGAGATTTTTGAAACTAATTAAAACGTACAGCTCTGCTACCACTTCCAACATAAATGAAGACAGAAAACTAAACAGCAGTGGCGTTTGTAGGGTTACTGAAGTTGGACTACCTGGTATATAATGTTGTGCTACGTGATTGCTAGCGACACAGCTATGTTAGCATAACATTAGCACAGTGAAGCTGGAGGATGAACGCCAACTTTTTTCCACTCGATAAAAGTTAACGTGAGGGATTCTGGTGGTCAGGGACAAATGCAATCGCATAGCAGGATGCTATACACGGGCCAAACTTCAGTCAGGAGAACAACTGAGATTATTCATCCACAATACAAGGTTAGTTATTAATATACTGCAACAACATGGGAACAGAACAGCTGCGAGAGAATTCAACATTAATGAATCAATGTTACGGAAATGGAGGCATAATTTGCAGATGATAATAGTTTTAGCCGCTGCGATGCTTTCGACCAAAACAGACGCAGCTTGATGACATCATCAACATGCGCTATCGCGATATAGCGATATAGTCAAAATCTCTATCGTTGGCCAAATTTATATCGTTTCTATCGTATATCATTTATATCGCCCACCCCTATCTCAGTGATATATGGATACTGATGTCAACCTCAGTGAGCCTCTTTTTCAAGTTACTCAGTCAGTCAGTAGGCCAGTCTAAAATTCTTCAAGCAGTCAACACAACTAGTCACCGTTATCCATGTGTCTTTGTTCAGTGGTAAGTTTGAAGGCTCCCTAAATGCTGTTTCATAGATTGAATTAAACACATAAAGAAACATTTATCACTTCCACAAGTTAAATCAAACAAAAACAAAAACAAAATGTCTGTAATATTTAACATAAAAAGCTTACAGGACATGAGAGATTACACCTGCTAAGCTTCTTTAGGCTCCTCTGATTTCATTTTCAAAAGCTTCATTTACAAAAATAATGAACACAATCATTTTGTGAGAACTAAACTGAAATTAGTGATGTGGAAATATGCATGACTTTTAATTTATCTTTACTGCTGGGTGATATTAAAGAACAGCTGGGCACACTATAGCTCAAACAACAGCTACAGAAAATTGAAACAGAGACAAAACAAACAAAATCTCTGACTACTTTTCTCTGGAAAAATGGTAAATTAGGAAACGGGTAAGGGACAAGCACATGTAGAAAAATATAAAATAATAAAAGAAGTAAAGTAAGATGAAGTTTCAGGCATAAGAAAACACCATGGGAAGGATGTAGGGTTAAAGACGTGTGCGTCTGTGGGTTGTGGTATACCTCGTGCTATCCTGAGCACCCTCATGATCCTGATGATGGTGGGGTTGATGGGGAGCGAGGCATTGATCTCAATCTCTTCCAGAGTGATGCCCATCACTGACAACAGCACAATGGCCAAATCCAACTGGTTCCACCTACACACACAGACACGCACAACAACTTTTCAACATACCGGAAAAATACCGAACCCGACGGAATATAATGTGAGTCTTAAAAAAAAGGAGAACGAGGATGAATTGCTCAGGATTTCATGACTGCACACATCACGGTCGGTGTCATGTTAATTTCCCAATGAATATTAATGTTCTACATCACATTTGTGCATAATTGGCCTGACTCTCGCACAACTGACTTGGCAGAAGAATTGGTAACAGCTCACCATTACCCTAAGGCCTGCTCCAGCTATGAATATTTATAATAATAGTAGAATAAGAGTTTGAATACAACTTGGACTAAGAAACAATATCTGCTGAGTCATTTATGTAGCCTGTTGTCATTTTATTGGTCAAAAAAGAGTTACTAAACGGCTCATGTGGGAAAATTCATGAATGTAAAGTTAAATAAATAATGTGGATTTTTATATTTTTGTCAAAGTTTTGATGCGAACTTCATATTGTAATGCTAATTCTGAAACAAGCATCGCATAATCTCATCAGACAACAAATATAAAGAGGACATTCTTCAGTTATATTATTGTTGAGTAACTATATTATGAAAGAACCTTTAAAACCCTTATATAAGAAAGAGACCTGACCTTTCTTACTTTAAAAGACATGTGCACTCCCTTAAATATACATTCCCCCCTTATTTTTTTTAAATGTAGCAACGTTTCCTTCACTTTTAACTCAGGTTACAGCAAAATTATTGCCCGGGGGAATGTTTCCCCACTGCGTTTCACGCTAGACAATATCTCAGTGCCAGAACAACAAGAAGCGGCACACAGACAGACTCACACAGTGTAAACACACTCAAAACAGGGTTGCCTAATAAACCCAGGGGCTCCTGAAAAGACACACAAGGGTGAAGACAGAAAAAGGCAAAGGTGCTGCAAAAGAAGAGAGAGGAAGGACATAGAGAAAGAGAGCCATGAAATGCAATGCACACTAGAAGAAATACCGTGACTAACTAAAACTGAGACACATAGAAAGATGGACAATAAAATAGGTCGGAAGAAGTAATTTTGAAAGCAAGAGGGGCAGAAATAACCAATAGCAATTTTCTCCAGCACAGTTCTTGAAATGGATCGGAAGCAGCAATAATAAATCTACATAGTAGGGTCGAATAATATTCGCCAACACTCTCACAGCTGCTCCACGGTCTTGTATGTGTAACTGAGAGAAGAGCCCCTGCAGGATTGCTATGACGCTGGGTGAAGATATGGAAACGAGTTAAAAATTCAAGACTTTCTGTACCTGCACAGTTGGATCGTGTTTTTAAATTAAACATTCGCCATATAATTGACCGATGACATCATCAAAAACTTGTGTAAAAGGGGCTTGGAGCTTATTTTCTTTACACAGTGCTGGCATAGTCGGTTGGTTATATTTAAACAACACATTTTTGTCACCATCCATCTGTCCATAGATCTAACCATGTCTCTTAGCAACTTCATAGTGTATGCTGTTAATATACTAGCAGGCCCACCGGCACTGCATTCTCACACAGGAAATACCTGCCAATGATATCTAAAGCAGGATTTAGCTCTTTGTGGTTCTAATTAGGCACAAAAGCCTGAAGAGAAAATAAACAACCTGAACAGAAGTGCAGAACTTGAAACACGTGGAATAAGAAAGCAAGCATTCTCTAAAAATCGTCTTCTTCACCTTTTTTAAGATTGCATATTATGCTCTTTGTATGATACATGTTACAGTCCCTATTTACATTCACTGTAGGCTGTTTTTTTGTGGATTGACAATTTCTGGCAAAAGTTAGGGCCAAACATAAACAATCTTTCTTAAAGGTACAATGTATAAAAATTCTACTACTAGATGTCAGTAGATAGCAGTAAACTGAGTTCTGTGTTCCTAATTCAAGTGTATATTCCGGTAGGAAAAACATATTTTTGTCATGTTTCAGCCAAGTGAGAGCAAAAACATTCAATTTAGAGTGTACTCATAATGACCACAGCTGGTTAGCATGTTTCTGCGACTGTTTGGACCTGATTCTCCCCAGAGTTTCAGTAGAGTGCTGTGAGTCCACTGTTTACCTCAGCTGTCAATGCAGGGTGAGAAACGTCCACATCTATTTACTCTGGAAGAGGCTGTAAAACTTTGTGAAAGGGGTCTGATCTGAGTCTGAGTCAAAGAAGCCGACTTGTGGCCAATGACGGACATACTGAGGTGAGTTCCTGAGGATATGCAGAACGTTTCTGTCTGTTTCTGCTTCTGTTAGCCACTGTTAGCTGGGGTTTGTTGAGTCTGTGTTTCCACAAGCCCCGCTAGTTTAGAGACTTATTCATCATGAAGAAAACAAGACATAACAGAACATCTTCAACCGGTTTTTCACTCGCTAGCAAGGGAAGTTTTTGGTCAAGAACCAGCTCTTGGAGCTCACGCTCCTAACCTGTCTCATGCCCAAAATCCTTCCAAGAGCAGCTATTTATTGACAAACTGTTACAATACACATCACAGCCCAAGCACCTCCCTCTGTAAAACCCCCCAATGGTTCTAAGACAAGGCACTATGTGTGTGTATGTGTAGGCACGTATATACATGTGCAAGAATGTGTATGTGTCATGTGAGAATGTGTGTGTGTGTGTGTGTGACCTCCTGCTGACCAAAAGGGTCATAAAAGCAGGAAGCTTACAACAGAAGAAACAGATCTTCCAGATAGGATGCATCTACAATAAATCCTCCCCCAGCACAGAGTGGCTGGAGAGGTGGTCAGGATCAAAGGAATGGCTCAAACTTACAAATTTAAGAAGCCCAATGACAACATTCAACAATTAGACTTAACAGGGTTAGCTGCTATTAGCAGGTGCTGGTGAAACTGTCCGACTTGTTGAACTCTTGAGACATTTACGTGAATAAACTCTCATATGATGCGAGAACGTAATGAAAATGTGTATCAGAGAGAAAGCGTAATTTTTAGGACACTAACAATAGCTGGTAGCTGTACGGAGACGGAAGTGTTGCATATCTAATTTGCAGACAATAACTGACTGCAACAATATTGGGAATAAATAAGCATGTTTGTCTGACTTGAGAGGAGGAAGAGGATGATATTTGATGAAGTTGCTGGTAACGTTGTCTCTTTCCTTCACGTTTTAGTTTCTTTGGTGAAAGGGACTCCTCTGCAGATAAAACATAGGTGTGATGCTTCATATCTTGAGTCGGAAGTTGCAGACACAAATTAAAATGTCGCACCATCGCATGCAAACACCTATAACTTCTCCTTCCCCTTTGGTGTTTTACATATATAGTCGGTCTCTAGACAAATACGCAAAATACAATTAGTCGACAGGGAGATGTCCATCACGGCCACTGTAGTCAAACATGGTGGGGGAACACGGCGGCTTTCACTAACGACAAATCATTTAATAGATGATTCAATTTATAAGAAGGTATAAGAGTGCAGGAAGACATAATCACAAAGTAATCTGTGTGTGTAAGTTTTGCCCTTGAATCTGTGATCTTGTATTTTTTTCCTGTCGTCTCTCAGAGCTTAGCTGGCCACAGCAAGCAGCTGCTTCTCTATTAGGAAGAAATATAAGAGATAAGGCCGTGGTATATAATACCAGAATGTGGACTGTACAAGGATTAACTTGCTGCTGGTGCCGTGGGCCAATACTATAACAGATTTGATCAGTTTTGCATGCTTCAAAGATTTAGTGCAGCCGGGACTGTACCTGTCCTTGAAGAAGCGCCGAAAGCCAAAAGCTACCAGTTTGAGAGAGGCCTCGATCACGAACGTGGACGTGAAGAAGTAGTTGCAGTACTTTAATGCAGTCTCCAGAGACTGGGAGAGTAAGAGAGATGAAAGATGGACAGAGAGGTTAGAACTGAGACAACAACAGCAGACAGTTAATATCACCTCTTCCGTGACCTATTACAAACACATTTGTTATCTTTTTTCACGCCACTAAAACGGTCTTTTTATCAGTTCACTGAAGAATGAAGCAAATAACACAGCAAGTTCTGAGAATTGTTGTTCAGTGAATCCGTTTTGCCAGAGTCAGCAACATTTGCACTTGCCAACAAATTTCTTTTAATAGAGGAGAGCTTAATTGAGACAGACAGCTAAATTATGTCACACTCTAGGGAGAAACGGAGAGCATTTTTTCTACTACGCTGGTATTAATGAGTCAGACAAAAAAAAGGGCTACACAAGTCAAACATTAGTAATGTTAAGTGCACATAATTAAACCAGATTATCCACAACAAGTCTAATTACATATTAACAAAGCGTGTGTTGAGAGGTAGTAGAAATTTGCCATTTTCAAACAGATGTTTGGACTTTAACGACTTTAATGACGCTATTTTAAATGATCTTTGTAGATTTCTGACTTATGGTAAAATACTTTTAGTACTAGTTTTAAAGTTGAGACCAAACAGAGAGAGAGTTGGTCATTGTGCATCCCTTCATGCTGACAATTGGTTGCTAGAGGATGTTTCTGGTTGTCTAGGTAACGTATTTTCAGGGCAGATGATTTCCTGTCCTCTCATTGGTGGTTGCTTCAGTCAATTGTGTTGAAGTTGACAGAAGTTTAATTCAGCACCTCCTTTATTTATTTATTTTACCCATAAGTCATTTGAAATCAGCGAATGCTATTGGCCATCTGCCCTCTCTGGTCGCCACAGTGCTACAAAATCACATCTTAAAACACAGATAATCAAGACCAGAAAATACCTGAAGGATTTCAGAATTAGTCGTGTTAATCTATAAGGTTAAGCGTTTTAGGATGTCTAAGGAACTTGGAAAGAAAAGCGTCTGGATTTCTTGAAATTTCTTGAAATTTCTTCACATCTGAGAAGCTTCTTCAGTTTTAAGAGCAACTGGTGGAGAGTCACAGATTGTAAGCCCTATGGGACTGTCCCCAAAGAGGGTCATGGACCCCCTATTGATCCTGTACCTAATCACCAAGACCAAGGTGTAAAAATAGGTCAGAATCAGCCAAGGTTTTGGGTTTTTGAGCCCAATGCAAAACCTAGCCCCACCCTATCATGTGATTTCCTGAGGTCAAATGGCCCAGGATGTGAGCGGGCGTTAAGGCGTCTACACACTGGCGTGCTCGAAAGAGTGACCTTTAGATGCAGATGGAAAAGCCGAGTCTTGTCTTGTCGAGGTGGCTCCTCTATGCTGTGCCGTGCATTTATGAAGTGGCTGTTTGGTCTCTCCGATGTAGAGGTCTGAGCATTCCTCGCTACACTGAACAGCTTCTCGGATGAGAGGTGAAATGTCTTCAAGAAACTTAAAGAAGTCGAGACCCTTTCTTTCCAAGCTCCTTAGACTATGATGACCTGGATGATGAAAAAGAGGCTGGGGAGAGTTTCTTCCCTGTTTTGTGTTTTTATACCAGGCAAAACTAACTGTCCATAGCTTTATAGGACTAGGAACAATTTTGTTTGTCCAGGTTCAGATAAAGGAAAAAAAATTAGCCATTATAACACATTTTATAATATAGATCTTTTTCAAAATGTGTTTTTGTCAGGTTACTTTTACTGTTAAAGCTCTTACAAAACCATTCATTTTTACAGCAGTTCTGCTCTGAAGACAAAAATGTAATTATTTTCATTGTTAAACGAGTTAAGTCAAAGGCCAGTGTTTTTAACTTTTCCACTTTAAGCAGCCTTTATAATACCATTTCAGCTACATTTCTTTCCTTTATTTCCAAAGGGCTTCAGTCAAGTGTTATGTAGCCATAAACCCTGCAGGTCTTTGACGATAGCCTCACATGTGTGGGCGATAGCCTTTGGATGTCAATGGCAATTCACACAGTCAACTGAAAATAATGAGCTCCGTGGGCTGTCTGTGTACAGCTATGTAAGTGGCTAATACCTTATATGTTTTCCACAATTGTCTCTCAAGATAAGAATATTTTCAGCTCAACACTGAGACCGAACACCAAGTCGTATACAGCCTACATGCCACAGGTCAGAAATGTGAGAGGAAACAGTGGGGGCAACACCACAGGGAAAGATCCTGACTGATTTGAGTGGGTTGCTCTGGTAGTTTCATTTCCTCCTTAGTGATCATATGTTAAACCAATTGATTATGCTATTTCATTAGGGTAGCAAGAACATGGCATAAAAAAAGTCAACTGTTACCATCCATTTAACACGTGAAGAGCTTTTTCTTACTTTTTAGCCACTTTATTGAACACCGTACTTGAATACTTTCCTGCTAAAAAGGCTTTTTTCCCACCTGAAAATCATTTTACATAGCCGATGCTCCAATCTGCCGATTGTTTATATTCCAGCACTTCAATACATGCTTTAGTTTTTGGCAGTATTTATTGCTGATTCAGAGCAGCGGGCTGGTCACTTGCCTCAGGAAATGGCAACTTTTAACCATCAACACCTACTCAGAAGATTTGGTGAGACTGAGAAAGAAACAGCAGATTTGTTCGAAGCATCGCTCTATCCTCCTCAAGCAAGGCTGTCACCTGTGGTTGGTTGTAGTGCTCCAGAGACATGGTGATGACATTAATGCAGATAATGAAGGTGATGACCAGGTCCAGGTAGTGGCTGGTACACAGAGCATGGATAGCCAGGCGTGTAGGACCATAGGATGCATAGTAGGGCAGCTTCTGTGCCTCTGGATAGAGGAAGAAAAACAATAAGACAATTAGGGTTTAGGGTCAATGAATGAGAAGGAAAAAAGACAGAAGGAAAACAAAATGGGAGTGAAAGACAAATTAGAAAAATGTAGAATAAAGTGAATGACAAAAAAATGGCAAAAAACCAAAAGAGAAAATATACAGACAAAATGTTTCATTAAACAAACAGTGAATAAAACCAGGAAGAATTCAAAGAGATCAGGATTCATTTCATTGGTTACAGTACTGTACACAAAGTCTTGAGTTACTCCTTCTTAATACTTTGCTTCCAAGGATCTAGGCTATATTTTTAAGTGGTTATGAGGTTTTCTTCAGGCTGAGGATCTTTTAGAGATTTTATTTGGACATTGGCTGCTTTTTCACTCATTTATAGTACAGTAGTAGTTTTGTTTTTTTTTTAATTTTTGTCGAGCCGCTTAACGCTGACCTATAAATGATTCAAGCATAAAACAGGCACCTACCCCAAGGACTGCTTCTACATATAACATAAACTGAGAACCCATTTTAAAATGTGCCTTTAGACACTTTGCTACTTTGTCAGAAAAACATTAATTTGTTCCAATTTCTTTTGAAATGACAGCAAATTATACAGTTCGACAGGGACAGAGGAAGAGATGGCACGCTGTAGCAGTTGAACTGCATCTCGAAGTCATGTCCAGCCAAGACCTGACACAAGACATAAGATCTACTTGCCAAAGTTACCAAAGTCCCATCAGAAATGGTCTCAGTGGTGGGCTGGCTGTCAAAAAGTTACTCTTAAGGAGGGGAAACGGGGAGAAAATGTCTGAGGCATGCTAAATTACACAAGAACTGCACTGCAAATAAGTGGCAACAGCTCTTCTGGAGTGAAGAATCCAAATTTGAAACCTTTGGTTCAAATTGTTGTTGTCAGTATATACATTGTTCCACCATGCAATACTATCTGGAGGGTTCCTGTTTACCAATGGCTTAAATTTTCAGGAAGTGGTGCCAAACATAATGCTATAATGCTGGATAGAAAGAAAAAAATGGAACACTATCAGTCATGGATTGGCCTCCCCAGAGCCCACACCCCAACATTATTAAAGCAGTGTGGCACCATCTTAAGGTCTACCGGTTTTGCTCAATTGGTGTGGATGGTCAGGGGGCAACAGCCTAGGTTTGAGTTCCGAGGCCCTGAGACCAAATAAAAGTTTTTAAAGTCTACTACAAGAAAGTACAAGAAGGCTTGCGTAAGAAAGTTTAGGCGTTGTGGACGAATAAAGACGGTCCTACCAAATATTGACTTTCAAGCATGTTAGAATTGAACTCTTTTTTTTGCCTCATATATTTGTATTTCCATCGATGTTTGCAGATGATTTTGCTAAATCACTATGTCTATTTCCCAGTTTCCTAACAAAATATAGAGAAATAAAGTCGACTCAAGGCTTTTACACAGTAGTGAATTTATTCCAAAAGAGGGAAAGAATAATGACGCTCAGAGCAGCTGAAGAAAAGTCAGACACTGAGATAAACTCTGTGCTTATATAAAGAGAGAATTTGATAAATGTGTGAGAGAGGTTAAGTAGCTTTAAATGAGTTGAAAAAATGACTCATTCAACGTCATATTATCATGTGTAATATAAAAGATCAAATTAGAAGTCTTGGGCATATGCCATGTGGATTTTACCCAAGGAGTGGATACTTTAAAAGATTGCATCTATTAAGTTAAACATATACTGTATATAAGATTTCTGAAATTGGAAGTATGAGAGAAGAGGTGAGCATTTTTTATATAATAGACTGTATACCGTTTGCATCTCTTTGCTAGATTTTCTCTTTATTCTTCTGTACACTCAGTCTTTGTTCCTCTCCCAATAGATTTTTGGATCTCATCAGTCCTCCTCCTTCCATCCATGTTTTTTTCAACATGACTTGATTTTTTAAAACCGTCCTTTTTTACTTTCTTTTTTATTTCGTTAAATTTTCCGTCTCATCTTTCTGCTTTTCTTTATTAATTATTTTCCCCTCAATCTTTACAGTGCTTCAGGCACTCAGCTCCCTCCCAACTCCTGCGTATCCCACGTTCACCCTTCAGCTTCTTCCTGTTCTCTGGATCTTACTTCTCCTTTTCTTCTCCATGCGACGCTGGCGTTTCTCCTCACGTCTTCTGGCCTCCTCCACCTCCTGGTGCTGCCGACATTTGTGGAAGTTCTCCACGACCACACCCACAAACATGTTAAGGACGAAGAAGCTGACGATCAGCAAAAAGGAGATGAAGTAGAGCAGCATCCACGGGTTGTTGTTGGTCAACGGCTAGAGGACACAGGGAAATGTAACATTAGAAAAAGGTAGACAAAAATAGGAAAACATAAATAATCCAAGGGTGAGCTCAAAGTACAGTAAAGTTTAATCTCAATAAAAACAAATACTATGTATGGAAAGTTTAAAGCCCTTTTCACAGATGTACTCAAACCCTGAACTTTTCTGACTTTTTTCTTTCCTTTTGAGTTTGTGTGATGTGTTGATGGGCAAAACACTCAGCTAATAATCTGGTGCATTCACCTTTATCAAGTAGGGCTCTTGTGTGTCACCAGACAGTTTCTTAAATCACTACATAAAGCTTACAGCAGTATTCAAAACAGACTATTTCCTGCTATGTGCTATATGTGACCCGATTAACATCTGAAAATGGAAAGGTTAGTTGTTGATGTCCAGCAGCCCGGTTGTTATAGCTGGTATGTGCATGAAATATGGTGATCGCTGAGAATCACGTCCAGGATAAGTTTGACACTGTTCTACATGTTTAGGGTTACACATCTATTCAACTCGTTTTGAGAGAAAATAATACATCTGACACTCTGTGTCCATATTCAGTACAGTTTGAAAATCTGGGGACTGTCAGCAATCTCAAAGGATGACAGTAAACCGAGGAATAGGCAGAGAATGGAGACAACGTGGGTTGATTGGATGTGGAGGTAGTTTTTGGGAGAGAGTCATTAGAAAACAAAACAAAAAATAAAGAAAAAAAACTCTGAAGTTCAGTGACAATAAAGCCGGAGATGAGAGTCAGATTTTCAATTTGGGGGAGCGCTGAGAGCTGAAAGCACTGGGTGGAGTGTAAATGGGATTAGTCATTCAGAGCCATGTTGGACTGCAGTGAGGTTTCTCCCTGAGGCGAGGAAACTGAATCATCCAGAATAATGCCCACTCTTTTTAATAGATTCTCTAATAGATTTTCAAATAAACCAATTCTACAAGGAACGCGTTCACTTTGTAGCAACTATAGAAGACTAATTTGCATCACGTTATTGGATGCTGTTGTCGTCTGTGTATATTATTTGTGGGGTTAAGGGGACAGTAAGCAGCGTGTTCTCCAATTTAGGAAGCAAAGATAGAGTTTTAAGATCGTGACTGGCCTCAGGTGTGATTGTTTTTAGCTTCCATTAGATAACTATAGTATCTCTGATAGAGCATTCAAGCAAAGCTCCTAATTTCACATTCCAATTATAGCTCAACCCTCACCTTCAATCATAATTTTAAACTGTAACGTGAAACTAGTTATGAACTACATTCAGCTCACATAACATTCATTGGAGGAAGTGTGGGTTAATTAAATTTAAAAAGGGTATTTGCATTATAGCCAAAGACATAGGCAGTGCACTTAAAAACAGCATAATAGGGACATAGGAGCAAAGCTCTTCAAATAAAATATACTAACAAAGGGATCTCAGAGGACTGGGCCGTCCCATTTAACCGTTTCATGCATGACAACCTCAATCTGGTTAGTATTTTTATTCATCTTTAAGCATGAAAAAATATTTTTGAACCTAATTTTTTTAAACATGTACTTTTTAAAGAGTTTGTTACATGTCGACTTAGGTGGACATCATACGTTTTGACTTATGAATTTGGTATGGAGTGACACATCAGTGTCCAATGTAGTGGTTTATGTGCAGGTATACCATCAACACTGACACAAATACAAGAAAGCAGCCTTTGAATAGCTGTCCACTGTAGTGACCACTATGTGTGAAAGGGTTAAATATGATTCCAATGATAAAATCCGGAACGGGTATTTGGGAGAAGGCGATGTAGAAGGTGCTGCTCCTACAGGAAACATTTGTAGTATTGCAATGATATGAACAGACGACACTAAGACACGTCCCTGTGGAAGAGATCTGGGAACATCCAACTGGGTTGAATATTCAGAAGACCAGAGGAGGAATTTTATATCCCATCTGTTAAAGAAATGTGGGATTCCCTCAAAGAGGTTTGAGTATATAGATGGAGATTTGGGTAAACTCTGCTTAGTTTACTACCACTGAACAGTGGACCTGACTGACTGACAGACAGATAGATAGAAAAAGGTTTTAATTATTCAAAGGTTTTAAGTATCTGGAGATAATAAAATAAATGTGATCATTGAAATTAGGTAAATACAATGTCAGGTGAACTGCAAAACCTGATATATTATACCATATGTATGTCATGAGACATACATATGGTATAATATGTACACACTGGAACTCTTTCCCATGTTGCTGTCTGTGTTTATTGTGCTATGGTGCGTTGATATCTGTGCATCCCTGTATTATCCTTCTGTGTTACACATTTCAATGTTTTTTTTCCCTCGCTACCTAGCCTGACCTGTCTCCCCAATGTGATGTTTGTGTATTGTATGTACGGTCGGCAAGGTCTGTCATCTCGGTTGTGGGCAAAAGACCTGCAACTGACAAATAAAGGCTATCTCATCTCATCTCATCATCAATACAAGTGAAATAAAAGTATTTCAAAATGCTGAAACAAGCACAGCCTTTCTGCTTCCACGGGAATTAAGACGATAAGTAGCAGCAAGGTGCTGCAAATCAAACACATTTAACTGATCATCATTAGGTGTGAGAAGAGTTTATTTTTACTATAACCACAAGCATGAGCATAGGTATTTACGGTAATATTATTTATTACCTGCTGGTCAATTCCCACTGCATCTAGTCCATGGTACATGATGTTGACCCAGCCATCTTTTGATGCCAGCACAAACAGGGACATAAGAGCCTGAAAGGGACACAAGCAACAGCATGAATAAACAAAGCAGGGGTCTGCAACTCCAGTCCTCGAGAGCTACGGTCCTGCAGCTTTTAGATGTATCCTTGTTCCAATGCACCTGAATCAAATAAATGGCTTGTTACCAGGCCTTTGCCAAACTTGATCGCATTCATGATTTGATCATTTGATTCACTGTGTTGGAGTAGGGATGCATCTAAAAGCTGCAGGACCGTAGCTCTCGAGGACTGGAGTTGCAGACGCCTGATTTAGACCCATCCAAACAAAATACTAATAGTATAACGGGCTACATCTAACAGCTGGCATTTATTTAAAAAAAAAAAAAGACAAAGAAAAGATGTTAGTGGATCAAACCACAGACATGAAGCAAAGTACTTTAATCGCCAAGTGCTCAGAGCAACAAACATGAACTGCTATTATGTAATAGACATCAGTGGTACAATATTAAAAACATTAATTAGCATTGTCAGCCGTGTGAGTCCTTCCTCTGTTATTCTCCACCTCTTTTTGTTGTACGATGGGATGTTGTAGCTAACTGAAAACCATCTCTTCTATTGTGGGCAAAAGGCACTTTACATTTCTTTTTTCGCATTCACGAATCAAACTGTCGCTTTTTCTCCAGCTTTAAGACCATTTAAAGGATCGACAGCGTAGTACAGTGTCTCCGTGTGCGGTATTGTTTGTGTGTACTTCTAGGGTAATAACAGCCCTGCCAGGATGCCAAGCATGCACTCTATTCTATCTCGTACCTGTCCAAGGTTGTCAAAGTTGTATTTGTGGTGAACCCATCGATAGTTGGCAGCCAGGCAGTCAGATTTATTGGTGATATTCTTCACATCGAGACCCACACAGTAGTAGAACTTTCCTTTGAAAAGCTTTGAAGGAAAACAGACACAGGCAGAGGCAGATGAAGATAAATCACGACAGAGCAATGAAAAAAAACCCATAGCCACTTCTTTCACTCGGTTTTTGAAGTCATTTCACAATTAGTGTTTGTAACTAGTGCATAGATGGAGCTTTATTGACGACTCCATGAGCGCTTGATATCAACAGTGTGGTTTTCCTCCCGAGAAAAGACGTTTTTAACTCTCACTCACACTGAACATCAAAGAGGGATGTGGGTAAAAGAATGCATAACAGCAGATGCAGAGAGAATGACATGAAATGAAGTGTGCAATAGCAGGGTGGGATTGACAACCAGGTGCAAAAGAAAATATGAAAATATAAAAGAGCCAGCTGTACATTTTCCATACTTGCAAACTTGCTTGTAGAGTTAAAAAGATAAACTAGATTTTGTGATGATATTCCCTGACTGATTTAAAAAAAAAAAAAAAAGCAAGGCAGAAGATGTTAGGTGGAGGGCAACTTGGACTTGGACACGAATACGTTTACCTGAACACCAAGGATGCCAAAGATGATGAAAAAGGCACAGCAGATGAGGACAATGTTGCCGATGGGCTTGAGGGACGTGATTAGGGTCTCAACCACCAGCTTCAGTCCTGGAGCTCTGCTGATCACCCTGTAGGACAAACAGGTGGAGAGGATGGAAAGATGAAGAATGAAGGAGGAAAAACAACAAACAGCATCTTTTAGAAGCGAAAGTAAAAAGAAAAAGAACAACGTGACTTCAGAGCTTTTGTCTAAAACACTGCGGTCATTTCAGTCACTTTTCTTTATGCTGGCATCCCAAAAACTGCCAATAACCTATTTTGTTATCTCAAGAAAACAGATTAATTTAACTCACCAGCTGACAAAAGAAAATTAAAACAATGAATAAAGGTCTGATTTCTCAATTTAATTTCTCCCAAGGAGATAATTTCGGTTTTCTCAGGATGCGGGGATAATTATGGAGAAGACATTAATATCTTAGTCTGTTTATCTGGTTATCCATGAAGCTATCCAACAGTTTCACTGAGATGCTGCCATTAATCTGACATTCTAGCAAACATCAGCTGCTGAAGTTGATTCCTGCACTGTGCACCACTTTTCCATGTTCAGAATTACAGATCCATTTATAAAACACTTGACTTCACTTTTATTTATCATCCGTCCTAATATATGAATCTGCGCGGAGGTGTGGAGAGCAGTCAGAGAGAGACAGTTTATTTCAGTGGTAACAGTAGAACACTTTACTGCTGATAGGGGGAGGCCGTTTCATTAATCCACTGTCCTGTGTGAGAATGACTGCACCTGTGTTGTCCAGAGTGCTACGGCTGATACATTAACTGTTTTATGGTTTGCAAATATGAGCAAGTTCAGAAGGAACTGAAGTCATGCCAGGGTCTTTGATAAAGTGAATTAGTGATGAGTTACACTTGTGCATGAATCTTAACCTTCACCAGTGTATGAATGTGAGAGTGTATGAATAGTGGTATTGTAAAGCGCTTTGAGGGGTCCCGAAAAGCGCTATAAAATGCAATCCATTATTATTATTATTATTATTAATCATGAATAATAGCCAAATCTTCTCTCTCTCTCTCTGATACATATTAGTGCTGTCAATAGATTAAAAAAAATAACTAAAATTTTTCAATTTTCTGTAATTAATCGTGATTAATCGCAATTACTTGATCAATAGCCATTTTTTCAACTTTATATTTAAGCTTGTAACTGACATTAATGCAATATAATGAAGTAAATGGAGAAAAAACACAAAGAAAGTATGCTTACATTCAAAGAGAATTTTAATAGTTTTCTTCAATCTTTTAGCACAGGTTCTCTGTGAAATACAACTTTTTAAATGGTAAATGAACTGGTTCTTTTATAGCGCTTTTCTACTCTGAGCACTCAAAGTGCTTTATACAACTAATTCATTCACCCAATCACACAAGCACTTTTTCTAAACTGTTTAGTCTGACTGTTAGTAGCTGACCTGCTCTACCACCTGAGCTACAGCCCCCCCCCCCCAAATTACCTATTAGTATATAGGTTTAATAAACCTATATACTATAGGTAAGTATATACTTACCTACATTCAGCTCACATGCTTTGCAATGTGCATTTATCATCTTCCAAATTTAGTTGATTGGTTCAGCTGCCCGTCACTACCAGATCAACTGCCCATTTGCACATGTGCGAAGGTAACTCGTTTACAGGAACATTTCAGGGATTT